GGCTGATGAGTCCCAAATCGGAAGAAACTCATGTCCTCAACTCCGCTGTTAGCCACTATCTGACGAAATAACACCTTGAAATATCTTCCAAGCATTTTACTAGTAAGTAACAAGTGAGCAGGCATCTAGCGATTCGGTCTAATAAAAATTCACTTGATGAGAATTTCTCCCCACCAACTGATTGTACACAAGAATTCTACACAAGAATTTCCTAATCACCTTCTCATCTTTGCCTGCAATTATGGGGTGAAGCGTTTATTGGTCAAGCTGACTGATTGTTATCACTTGGACGTAACTAGAATGAGATTTTCTTTTTTTATCTCAGTCTTATTTTGTTCTTCACTTTTGAATAGAAAAGAAGGAGGAAATCAAAAATGAGATACTGTTAGATAACTCAGTGTCACTCAAATGGGAAATTAAGTCAATTTCAAAATTTCAACGACTATGGTCGATATTTCTCAAATTGAGATGATGGAAATATTTTCAAAGTTTATCCGTGGAATTTTATTTTATTTTTTTGTTGTTGAATAAACTAGTGTTTCGCTTGTCGACGGACACAATAGAGCAATAATCAGGCACGTACCTTCTATAAACACATAAAATACTGGAGAGTTAAGGTATCATAGCTAAAGTCAAGGTCTGTCAAAAGTTAACCATAAAGAATGATTACAAGATTTCATCATGAGCCAACATCGGTTAGACAAGCATTGGAAAACCAGCATTGGAGGATTGGACAGCTGTTTATACCATCCTAGTTTAAGATTCTTCATCAGTACGCACCCTCCATAGCGTCGGCGGTACAGCTGTAGGATGCCCACCAACCACGCATGTGGTTCATGGTTCGATCCCAGGCCAGGGACGTGCTCCTTTGGCTGGTTAAGCCAGTAATAAGACTGCTAAAGAGGGAAGGTTTGGCATGAGGCTAGCAGCCTCATCCTGTAAAAATAAACACCAGTGCTACAGAAACTTCAAGCCTCTAGCTTGAAGCTCTGTGTTCAACTGGCAACGTAAAGGAATAAAAATAATAATGCACCCACCGGGGTTCAAACCCAGGACATTCTGGTGACAAGACGAGCTCGTAGACAATTAAGCCACTGGGACTAGATCCAATGGCTAGGCCATAAATTCTAACTTCTACCAATTCACGACATAGCGTGACCACTTCGCAATGTTTTCTTTAATAAGTTACTGCTTTACCTTCAACCTGCTGTACCCTGCTGGTCACGGCTTCCCACTGAAACCCTAGGTTAGCCGCCTGAATACAGTCAGTCGCTGGTGAGCATCTTTTATCCCAATTTTATCTGTTCGTGTGTACATTTCTCAGATAAAAATCATTCATCGCTCTTGAAATTGCATTCCATAGCATAAGAAAGAAGAATAATTTTGGTGGATTTGTAAAGGGAAGCAGTTTTAAAGACGTTACTTCCTTCACTAAACTGGCCAAGCAGCATCGTTTCAAAGACAGGTTACAGAGCGAATGAGGGTTTCAGAAACAGCCAGTATCGTAGAGCTAAGACAGACATTCATCACTCTGAAATCTTCTGCACTCTCCCTTAGCATAAACACCGAAATTGGGATTTTCAACACCAATGGTAAATCAGTCAGTCATTTGTTTTATATGGTTGAGAAACTTGAATTACGCATCACGGAGAGCGTTTCCAACAGATCGCTGCAGACTTTTATCAACATCTGCTTTCGATTGCTGCATACTGAAGGTCAGATGTCCCAAATGGGAATTCAAGTGTTAGCTTGTAGGGATTTGATTGGTTTCAGGATTTTCATCATGAGCTGACATTAGTTAGAGAACCATTGGAAAACTTGGGAGTACTGGACAGCTGTTTCGTCTTAGTTTGAGACTCTTCGGCAGTACGCACCCGCCGGGATTCGAACCCAGGACCTTCCGGTTACAAGGTGAGCTCGTATACCATTAAGCCACTGGGACCCAACCCAATGGCCCATGAATTCTAACTTCTGCCAGTTCACAATTCCTATTCAGGTAGGTGGTTCTAGTGAGAAGCCGTGACCAGTAGGCTTCAGCAGGTCGGGTGTGAGGACAAATACTCGCCGAAGACATTGGCTACGGGTCGCGCTATGTCGTGAATTGGCAGAAGTTAGAATTCATGGGCCATTGGGTTGGGTCCCAGTGGCTTAATGGTATACGAGCTCACCTTGTAACCAGAAGGCCCTGGGTTCGAATCACGGTAAGTCCGTACTACTGAAGAGTCCCAAACTAAGACGAAACAGCTGTCCAGTACTCCCAGGTTTTCCAATGGTTCTCTAACTAATGTCAGCTAATGATGAAAATCCTGTACCCAAATGGGAAACTATGAGTTAAACATGGCTTCGATAATGACATCCAGGAGGTCGTGAGAAGGGCAGATGGAAGCTTATGGGGAATCGTGTTATCAGATGAAGAGGGCTGAAGAGAACAGGATGGGGTGGAGATATGCTGTTGGAGCCCCATGTTTCACTCAGAACCCAAAGGAATAATAATAATGATTAGTACTTGACAAGTGACTCAACCACCTTATTTCCTGATTTATTTCATTCCTTGAAATAGCTATCGAGAACAGAACATTAGTCATTTCGAACTCCGGAAACAACACCAACTTTATCAGTATCTAATAAAGTGGAGCTAATTTAGCCCACTCCAGTCCAATTTTTACTGAATATATGATGTTTCATATTTGCTTTAGTGCTAATGGTGGCCTATAATCATACTGACTTTCAGCTTCCCTCTTCACATCAGTGAATAGTTATTTGCCAGTTACGTTGGCTGGCGGTTGCGCTAAATATATATAGCAAATTATCAGAATTTAGAATTCCGGAACCATGGAATTCAGTCCTAGTGAATGAGTGGTCTGCGGAATCACCTTGTTTGTAACTGGAAGGTCCTGGGTTCCAATGGTGATTGTTTTGTACTATTGAAGAGTCCCAAACTAGAGCAAAACAGTTTTCAAGTACCCCCTGGTGGTTTTCCAATGATCCCATTGATGTCAGCTCGTGATCAGTCGATCCTGTAAAAGTTCAAATCTTTGAAAATGCCTTTTGTTGGTTATCACAAATGCCAAGAAGACTATCGCATTGCTTACTCCTAATCCAATGGTCGCGTTCTATTCTACCCTGTACAATCATTGAATTACTTATTAGGATATTTAAACATTGGAAATAGTGATTTTTCTCTGCGGCCTGTCTGCTTTCTTCAACTTTATTTGAATAATCGCTGAATTAACCAGTTCATTCAGTCATTTATCCCTTCACTCTAGAGTTTTTCAATCAAATTTGACATATTTACACTAGTGCTTCATTTATCCTGTTAACTTAGTCTATCACACGTTATTATATCGTAAATTATATTTGATAAATATATAACCTTTATCTCAATAAGAAAGTATTTCTGCTGTCACCGCTTCACTCTACATCATTACTGACTTAGTAGATTAAATTTCAGGTCACTGAGTAATTGACAATTTATAGTGAACTTAAAGATTATTCTCAGTAAATACACAATACATCGTTACTAGTTAGTTAGTTAGTTGGAAGACAGAAAAATCGATAAATGCCTTATTTATCTTATTTAGTGAAGCTATTCTCTATCTCTTATTGATTGATTAGTTTTCTCGAGTTTGCCCAGGGATTGATATCAGTTAGAGAACTATTGAAAACCAGTACTGGAGTACTGGATAGCTTTTTTATCATAGTTTCGGAATCATCGGCAGTACGCACCCAGCGCAGGGGATTTGAACCCAGGACTTTCCTGTTACAAGGCAAGCTAGCTTGTATAGCATTCAGCCACTGGGACCCGATTCAATGCCCATACCTCAATCAATGCCGTTAGGCAGCTATACAGGCAAGCGATAATTTCCGAAGTACAAAACGAGTACTGTAGAACAAAATTAGTTGAATAGAATTCAAGTGTGTGGAAGTACCAGTGAATCAAGTAGAATATTTCCAGTAGGTTGGGGTTAAAACTCTTTTCACTAAAAGAATCACACACCAAACAATTCTCGAAGATAGTTTAGGATCTGAGTTACTTCTATTTACTGAAACAAAATAGCATGATATAATAACACACTATAATTTACTTCATTTTTATTTTTATTGCAGCTTGATTCCACACCGTATTTTCAGTACAAGTATGGAATTTTCAGCATGGATGTCGGTAGCCCAAATTTTGCAGGCCGACCATAGATATCGGGTGTGCGTCGGCAGTGGGTCGGACCCCGGACCATGTGCATGGTCGGCGACAGTCCTAACCACTGTGCCACCGACGCCATCCATCAGACAACTTCAAAGAACAGCACTCAAATTAGAGACCAAACAGGGACAAAGATAAATAATACGCATCAAGTCAACATACGATTTGTAAATGTCAGAAAATGATGCAGAACAAGGGAGAAAATGAAGATAATATTTGCAAAGTTACAGGATTTCATCATAAGCTGAGATAGGTTAGAGAAGCATAGGAAAATCTGGGAGTACTGGACAGCTGTTTCGTCCTAGTGCTTGGTACTCTTCATAAGTACGCATCCACTGCCAGGGCTCGAACCCAGAACCTTCTGGTTACATGATCAGCTCGTAGACCATTAAGTCACCGGGACCCGATCCAGTGGCCAGTCCGTGAATACCAGCTTCAGCCAAATTGGCGAGTGTTTGTCCTCACACCCGACTAGCTGTCCTGCGCCCCACCGGTCACAACGTTCCGCAAGAAACCCAGGTAACTACTTACCTGAATAGGACCAGCTGTCTAGTACTCCCAGGTTGGTTCTGTAACCGATGTCAGCGCATGATGAAATCCTGTAACGAATCAATCGAATCCCCACAAACCAGTACTTGAAAATTACACAGTTAGTTGGGATATCTAAATAAGTATAAATATTGTGATTAGATCGTTGAGGAGGGATTTTCTTTCCTTTACATTTTCCTCATTGATTATTTATTGTGCCTTTCCGCATTACATCACCCCCCCCCTTTGTCTTTCTATTTCACTTTCCAATCAGGATCGATATTATTGTTGTGTTACAATGGAATTCAAGAATTCAAACAACACTGGACATTTTATTCACCGAAGTGATTCAAGCAGATTTTCAGTTTAAAAGCTTCACTTGTTTAATTCTCCCAAATATCATCGATTCACTAAATCCTATCAGAATGAATTCAACTTTAAATAAGCCATCCAGATACTGTATAACAAAAGATGATGAGAAAAAGTACCCAATGATGAAGTGGTTACGATTAGCTTTGAAATATGGTTTAACTGTCCTACAGATATGCGGCAGTAATAACAAATTCTGGACAAGATTTCATTGTTCACAGCCTACATCTAGTGTAACAAATTCATCACTATCCAATTCCATGGATGAGAAAATATACCTAACAGTGTTTAATAATCATTTACAGAAAACAAATCTTACTACTGGAGTACAAAAAAGTAGTTTATTATTATTCGAGAAATTTGGTCTGGGGAAGTTGAAAATGATGCCAATTCCTAGTGGTAGTGTTGGTAAGTATTTGTGATGATGAGTGTATTAGATTAACAATGAATGGAATAGTAACTTCATAATCATGATGGTAAAAATGTCCGATGTATATCGCATCACATTTCAAGCATTTTATTTTATAGACACAATTAGATAGAGAATCTTTAGGGATTTGGTCATTTACATGGACAAATTTGTTTCACAGTGTGCGTGTCTGATGTTTTGAAGAAACTTTGATGTTGAGCTTATTGAGTACTCTTCTGATATCGTCTGACATCTCCGCTCTATATGGAATGACAACTTTTCAGGTCCATGCTTTCGGAATACGTTTTCAACCATAGATGAAAGTAGTAGAACAGGGGCAGTCAGACTAGATGAGCATAAAATCCTGGCAAAATACAGATTAGTTGATCCAAATAAGATAAGAAATCTGAAGAATAATTAAGCTATGTCACTCACTACATGCAATTGCACACAACCATACAATAGGATGATGGGATAAGATGAAAGTTTTAAAATCTAATGTAACAGCAGGGTGGAGGTAGAGATCGATAACAGAAGCTTTGTTTATCGAATCAACTGAATGAAAGTACGTGTAATAGGAATGATTCAACACCTCTCCAGCCGGACATCTGGAAAATTCTACTACTCCATCGAAGACAAATAGGAGAGAGCAAAGAAAACTATGAAACTCAAGTTTCGAAATCGTGTGATTATAATTCATATGATTATGAAAAATAATTGATTGTGTTCGAAACCTTGTCATCCAGTAAACATAAATACTGTTTCACTGTGTGATATATCTAATAAACAAACTAATATGGAACTACCTACTACCGCAGTGCCCAGGTTTTACACATATATTAGTAGCACACTGACACCCAGATAATCAAATGAGTATTGAAGATGTAATATTATGCCACAATGGTAGAGTGCAAATTTGTTTAAGTTTGTTGATTTGATGTTTCGACAGTATGTTTGAAATTCACCCCTCGTTCATTGTATAGTTCGAATATATATAATATATTCAACATACCTAATTCAGAAGCCATAAAACTATGGGGTGATCTCTTTCAGACGATTTGAATAGCTGGTAGGAAGCAGTGCTAAAATAAAGAAAGGCAACTACGAAAAAAGGGTGAGTCAATCAGTCAGGTTGGGTGATAAGCAATACTTACATATTTGAAGTTAACTCGAGAATAAGGCGTAAATTGTGAAGGAGCGAGAGAGTCGGAGATAGAGAGACGGAGATGAAGATAGACAGATAGAGACAGAGAGACAGATGGTGAGTGTGTGTGATTGATAGATTGGGAGAGAGTGACCGGCAGCGATGTGTATCTGAGGATGACTGAGTGAGTTTGGCTGTCAAGCGTTTAGTGTGTTGTAAGCTTGATGATGTGATGGTGAAGGTGTGAGGAGGAGGCGTGGTTAGATCACCACTCGCTGAATGGTGCTCGTTGTCGTCGTTGCAATTCAGTGAGTCAGTGAGCGAGCGAGTGATTTAGAAGGCAGCCACGTCCAATCAGCACCGCATACACAACTACCATCAACAGAACAACAACAACAACAACGACACAAACAGCAACAGCAACAACAACAACGACAACAACAACAAAAGCAGCTATTTCAGCCACAGGCTTGACTTTGTTAATTCATAAGGGCGGCCTTTTACTTGGCCAGCCACAGGCAGGATAAATTTGATTTAATCACGCCAACCCACAACTTCCTGACCTGTAGAAAATTGCAACACCTTACTATCAATGAGTCATTTGCACAGCTGCATTCCCACGCCTGACAAAATACATTCTCAACTCGCACAATGCATCGCCTAAAGGAAATCTCAAAAGATAGCTACCATTTCCCATTTGCAAGAGCACACTTATGTCTGGTTTCGAGTCGAATCATATTACTGACTTACTGACTGACTGCCTGACGAGCTTATTCCCATGTGTCAGTAGTATATTCAGTATCGACAGAAATTTCTGCGCATTCCCAATGCGATTCATTGTCTGATGACAAGGAATCAATCCACCAGCTGACTATCTCCTTCGGTCATCTCAAGTCGTCTGTTCTTTCCAGCGAATGTTTAATCTTGCTTAATTTATAATGATCGTCTTTCTACAATTTCTGCATCCTAAACCAAGTAGTAGAAGTCGAACCCACTCATTCTGTAGGGTATAAATCTCTGAAGGATTCAGCTTTATGCGATGCATTTTTGACAAGAATCCTGTGCTTATAAGAAATTTTCAGATGGTTATATGACCGATGCTGACTGAAATGGGAACTTCTTCATGTTTTAAAGAGATTTAACCGGCTTATATCGTCTTATATTGTCTCTAAATGGCTACAAGCTGGAACATTCTACTTGGAATGAATGACAAAGTAGAAATGTGTTATTGAGGCCCGATGTTCCACTTGAAACTCGATGGAAGAATAATAATAATATTGGAGCTTGCACTGAAAATGTTGTCTGGAAGGACAAGGAAAGCTTCGCAGTTAAACTAACCATCTTGGAGAACATAACGAAATCATAATCATCCACCTGAACTACCAATCTTCTCCATTATTTGTCTGTGTTTATTGAACGGTTATATCAAAATTAAATTGACTACTCAGATAGATGGGCGAAGATGCATTAAAATACGTCAGGTTAAGAGAATAAGGCCTGAAAATGCTAGCAAATCGTTCAACTTCTTAGTCTGATTGCTTATTTATAAAGAATATGATACAAAATCTGACTTGGATAATTCAAAAACCATATCTACCACGTACAACTCAGGCTCTAGGAGTCCCTAGACAAATCACTAACTCTAAATCTTTGTCTCGCCTTTGAACATGCATTACTTAGTGCCGGATATGAAAACTTTACTGCTAAGTTACTCTAAATTGATCACATGATTAATGTACTCAGAATGACAACAGTTAGAGTACCACTGGAAAACCATCTTGGAGAACTGTACAACTGTTTGTGTCGTCATAGTTTGGGACTCTTCATCAGCACGCACCCAGTGGGGTTCGAACCCGCGACTTCCTGGTTACTACAGGAGCTCGTATATCACTGAGCCACTGGAACCCAATCCAGTGGTTCATGAATATTAACTTCTGCTAGTTAGTGATATATATATATATATGTTTGACGCAGACACTGTCACGGACGGGTAACTATCCTCTTGCGTAAATTTGTGATCCCACTAGTCACGACCTCTCACTAGAACCGCAGATACTTCCAGTATAGGGTCAGTCTCTAGTGAGCATCAGATTAATTGTCAATTGTTGGTTCACGGGGATTTGATTTATTAATATTCCCTTGGGTTCCGAGTGGGATCTAAGCCTTCAACACCACATCTCCATTTTGTCATACTCTTCACAGTCCTCTTCAGTTGAATCAGCTGATCTTTTTCTCACACAACCTTCTCCACGAAACCGTCGAACACATGCCCAATTCATTGTTTCCCACCCGGGTTCCATTTGACTGATGACCAGGCATGCCTTGTTATCCAGAGGTCTCCTCAGGGTGTGTCTCATCCATCTCTATTTCCTTCAGGGTATTTGTTGGGCACTTGCAGCGTGATAGAGATTCCTGTTCCTAGTCCTTTCTGGCTAGCCTACCATCTGATCTTCATCATGGATTGAAGGCATCTGTTGATTAAAAAATTTGCAGCCACCTGCTGGGAATGCTTTTTGGGACGCATCAGTTTTCTTTCTGGCTTAACTAACGTTTATGGCTTAATAGTTACGAGTTTATATTGAGATAATTCGCTTGAATTTACGGAAAACTGAGCGTCTGTAGTTCGGTGTTAGAATGCCCCCTCCCCAACCGCACCGCACGTTCGATCCTCCAGCAGAGGCAATTCTGATAAGTCACTTAGCTGATAGTAAGCCCGAATGAGAGGGGAGGTCAGGCGTTAGACCAGCAAGCCCACCCCATAAGAAAAAGCAAGAACACCATTACTACTACTACTGAAACTTCAAGTCTCATGCTTGAAGGCCAATGCTCCATTCAGAATGCAAAGGAATAAAGTAATAAGTAGTATGATACAAAATCACTAGAGCAAGACATATCGAAATGAAAGTTTATCATAAGGTTGGTTAACTCTGAGTAACTAATATACTTTTTCCTTTTCTATTGTTTCTAATATTTAGGTGACTCAGGATTATCTTATAGTTTGTTACTTGTATGGCTGCCTTATGAATGTGAAAACTCCATCCCCAATGATACAAAACGTACCAGTGCTAAAGTCTTTTTCTATCCAGTAACATTAGAAATGAAGCTGAATACTGTAGATGAACAGAAATCACAAGTTGAAGAATCAAAGGTGAACAGAGATGCAGTACTGGCTACAAGATCCTTAATGCAACAATTAATACGATACAATTCTAATACAAATTGTCCTATTTATCGAAAACGTCAATTTAATCGTGGTAAGTAATTTCCAGAGTACATTTAGAAATCTGTCACTGAAATTATTATGACACTATAACGTTTATCATAAACGTGATTATTATTGTCATTAATTTTATTACTATACTATCCGGTTCCGAGTGGAACATAGAGCTTCAACAGGACATCTCCATTTTATCCTCCTCTCTGCTGTCCACTTCAACTGGCTCCACGATTGTCCATAGTCAGTCATCACCTCCTCGCACGATCTCCTCCATATCACCCATTAACACACACCCAACCTTTTGTTTTCCTTTCGGATTCCACTTGGACGACAGTCTGGCGCGCGAAGACACTCAATGATCTTCTCAGTGTGCGTTCAATCCATCACCATTTTCCTCGGAATATTCATTGGGCAGTCGGTTCTCGATTGGTTCTATTCCAGAGTTCGTGTTCGCTAATTCATTCTGTCTTACCAACTGAAATCTTCAATATTCAGCTAGAGAAGGCAACTGCTGACAAAAATCTGCAGAGGCCTGTTGGAAAGGATTTCAATAACGCTCGTGTCAAGGTCCTGACCCTTATAGAAGAACTGACTGTATTGACATTGGTGTTGAGAATCCAAATTTCGTTCTTTCTACTGTAAAATGCGGAAGATTTTAAAACTGATTTCGTAGTGATGAATAGTAACTTTACCTTTTCGATTCTCATTTTGACTTCCTCATCTCTGCCAGTGTCTGTAATTGAAACTATGCTTCCTAGATCAGTGAAGGAATTCATCTCTCAGAGATTTCCTCTGTTCATAGGGATTGGTGCTTGTTTTTGTTGGCGTTGATCGACAGGTATCTTTATCTCCTCCGTCTTCTCTATGTTTGTTTGAAGTCCTGTCTTCTCTGCCTACCTATCCTGCCAACTTGTCGGTTTTCATCTGTAGGTCTTCGAGGTCTGTGTGATACTAGACATGAATCATCCCTGAAATCCAGATTTTCTGGAGTTTTCTAGTCAGTCCAAAGTATTCCTGTCTCCTCGCTCCCCATGTGTGGTGTGACGCATAGCGTCCATCACAACTGGAAGTAATATTGGTGATAATACAGCTCGCAGTTTACAATTTATTTAGAATAGTAGGCTATATGCCTGTGTCAGTCCTTTCGCTTTGTTGCACACAGGAGGTCCAATCTCGCCTTGAATGAATCGACGGATGGCGCTGATAGGACGTGTTCCGGTAGGGAGTTCCAATGGTTCACAATTCGATACGAAAAATGGATCTCCAGACGCAGACGATTCGACTGTGGTTTTTGAACCTTGAGGTGATGTCCTCGCAATTGGTTGGTGCTAGAAGGGAGAAATAAATTAGATAAATTTGCTCCAAAATCATTTCTTAGGATACGGTATGCTAGTATTAGGTCACCCCTAAGTCGTCTGTATGACAGTGGAAATAAACCCAGTCGACTTAACCTCTCCTCATATGAGAGGGTTGAGAAACCCTTTATCAGCTTAGTTCCTACTCTTTGCACCCTTTCTAATAAGTCTATTTCGTATTTGAAACACGGGCTCGCTGCCTGGATCCCATATTCCAAATGAGATCTGAAATAAGTCGGATATAATATACGAAATATATCGGCGTCAAAGTTCGCAAAAGCCTTGCGTATGGCCTATAATATTCGAAAACCCTTAGTGGTTGCAGCTCTACAGTTTGTTGCTGTTTTTAAGTCATGCTGCACAACCACTCCCAAGTCCTTGTACTCAGTGACCACTGGGAGAGTAATGCCATTCATTGAGTAATTGTGCACGTGACTATGAGATACATGCATAACTACACTCTTGCTTAAGTTAATCTCCAAGGCCCAGTGCTTACTCCAATCACTTAACAAGTTTAAATCTTCCTGCAATGCAAGTTGATCACTGTCATCGTGTAAAGCCCTCCATATCTTGATGTCATCAGCAAACAGTAAGCAGGATGACCTAACTACCGATGGAATCTCATTAACATAAATCAGGAAAAGAAGTGGGTCTTGTCTAACTCCCGCATTGACTTCTAAAGTTTCACTGATTTTTCCACAGTAGATCACCAGATAGCTGTTGAATGAGCTTAATAAAGACTTGGTTTAACACACAGCAGTATAATGCCAGCCAATCACGCATGGTTTCCAGGGTTCTATCCCCGGCCATGGACGCACTCCTTTACCTCATTAAGCCAGGAATAAGACTGATAAAGAGGGAAGGTTGGGCATCAGGCTAGCAACCCCACTCCATAAAAATGAAACCACTGCTACCGAAACTTTAAGCCTCTAGCTTGAAGCCCTATGTTCCACTGGGAATGTAAAGGAATGAAATAATAATAATAAACTGCCGCACTTCATAGTGTTGAAGTAGTTTCCGAATTACTTCATAGTGAACGCTGTCTGTCGAAAACTTTTCAAAGTCACTAAAGTTGAGACAGAGATTTGACCGTCATTCTATGCTCTTTTCTGTGATGACGATGGGTAGCTTTGCAATTTGAACCGCACATGATTTGATTTTCTTGAACTCCGCTTTTTCTAGGTGGTGGAGTTCTGCGTCCAATTCATCTTTTATTCATTCCAGGATAGCGAGACTTAGTATTTTGCTTGGCATGGACACGAATATGAATCGGTGCCAGTTCTTGTAAAGGCCTCATTAGGTGCCTTTCCTTCCTTCCAAACATTTTGCAACAATATTGTGAGCATATTTGATGCGAATTTAAAACAAGCAATAAAGGTTAATAATGCAGGATCTAATGAAATCATCAAATTTCGGTAGAACCCGTCAGCTGAATACTCTACATACACGGATATATATACTTCTGAAATTACATTGGGAGGTATAGGAATGATAAGTAAACAAACTACATTGAATTAGTCATGCAGAAAGACAGGTGCGAATGTTTTTCCAGGTCATGTTCAAATAGATAAGGGGAGAGTATGAGAGATTAAAATTAAGATAAAATGCATTACGCTTGAATAACATCACTTAGATAAACAATTAGACATTAGAGAATAAAATCAAGAATTGGTAATAGAGTAATATCAATAGTAATAGTTATAATAACAATAATAATAATACTGTTGAAGTGAGTTAAGATAATCCTACTGATAAAGGATAGTTTTAAATGAATCAAGAATAATAATAATGAGAATAATAATAATAGGTATAATTATAAGTAAAACGTATTACCATGGTAGATTCAGAGTCACCATCATCTCCTTTTGTACACAGAGACGTGGTTTGTAAACTCGAATTGCACAAGCCTCTGCAATTGCAAGCATCTTCTTGTTTCTTTGTCTGCTGACAATAGTGAATGACTTGACCGCATCGATATCATGTCCGTAATCCACAAGATGCTTTGTTATTGAGGATTTTGGCACTTTGCACTCAGCTGTTTTCAACCATTTTGGCAAATGCTCCATCATGCGAGTAGACAATCTCCTTTCCGTACGACCTATGCGTATTTGCTTCCACAAACACACTCAAATTGATAGACGTAGTTTGAAGTGTGGAGGATTGGCGACTGATCTTTTCCAGATTGTTGAAGTACTCGCTTGGTGGTGTTACGGAAGACAGGCCTCGCAGCATAATAGGTTCTCTTGATAGTTTAGTCGAGTCTTCGTTTGACTACTTCTTGTACATCATCTCTTTGGAATGGCAAACTGATCTATACAGATATGAATTCATTAAATCCTGCTTTACTAACCTTTATTGCTTGTTTTATATTCGATGCGGTAGTATATGATGCCATCTGAAATAAGCTTATTCTGTGTATTAATGAAGAAATGAAGTGCTATTATTATTATTATCACTATTTAAATATTGGTTTGCAAGGATTTCAGTGGTTACAGGACTTAATCATATGTTAATATCGGTTAGGGAACCACTGGAAAATCAACACTGGAGGAGTGGACAGCTATTTATACTGTCCTAGTTTGAGATTCTCTAGCATTACACACTCACCCACCAATGGGGTTCGAACCCAGAACTTTCCGGTTACAAGATGAACTCGCAGATCATCAAGCAGCTACTAATACCCTATGTAGTGGCCAGTCCATGAATTCAAACTTCAGCCAATTCACGCACCACAGAGCGAATATTTATCCTCATATCCGATCCACTGTGCTGAAGTCAACTGGTCACGAATTCTCACTAGAACAACCTCAAGTAATTACCTACCTACCTGAATAGAGGCAGCCAACAGTGGATCGGGTCTCAGTGGCTGCTCCCTAATGGTTTACGAATTCGCCTTGTTACCAAAAGGCCCTGGGTTCGAAACTCAGTGGGTGCGTACTGATAAGAAGTCCCAAACTAGACTGATGAAACAGCTGTGCAGTACTGCCCTCAGGTTTTCCAATGATCCTCAAACCAATGTCAGTTCATGATGAAATACTATTGTTATCTCCTAAATTGTAACAAATGGAGACCTAGCACTACTACTTTCCGATATATATTCACAAATATTTGCCTTTTCTGTTGCCTTATCTACAGATACGAACAGTTCAAGTACGATTACACGATCAAAAACGTTCACCTCAGGCTTAAATCCTCTACCACGTGTGAAGTGTTCAAATGGAGGACATTCAGTGATCAATCCAATTTTAAGGTTAGTCAACGATGATTGTCACATGTTGAGTTTCTTTATTTAGTTAACAAATAAATGATGAATGAGCGAACACACTAAAACCCAGTTACAGAATATTCTGGGTTTCGTTATCAGTTGATTGAGTACTAATATGCTTGTTGAAAAAATGTTTATGCCCCTTTCCAATAAACATTAAAGATGTAAACATGATTAGCCATGGATATGAATCTCTCCGACTTTCCGATTCACATCAGCCCTTGTCTGCTACCTGCTTCTTCACTTCAGTGGAATCAGACACTATCTTGTGAACTAATGAATGAAGAGATGGCATAGCAGCAGTTAGTCCTTTGATAAATTTAACTAAGGCATTAAGAGGAAAACTACAGGAAAGATGATATTGACATTTCATAGTTTCTCTATAATCGTTTCACAACTGACATGGTTCTCAGTGGTGAAAAAAGGGGGGTTTGACAGTTACTCAGTCATATAAAATACAGGTATTCTGGTGTTGATCTGTAGGGATTTGATTTGATTGATTACAGGATCTCATCATGAGCTGATAACGGTCAGAGAATAACTGGAAAACCGCCAGGAAGTGAGTGCTGGACAACTAGCTGTTTCGTCACGCTGGTTTTTGTTCTCTCTTCAGCAGTACGCACCCACCCACCAACCCGATTCAAACTCAAGACCCTACGGTTATGGGGGAAACTCACAGACCATTAAGCTGCCTCTGGGACCCGATCCGATGGCCATACCATGGATTACAACTTCTGCCAATTGACGAACGATAAAGCTCAACTGGCACTAGCCAACGTCATCGACGGCGAGTACATAGTAATAAGCAATCACTATTTTAGTGTGCCAAGTAGTCTATGCTAGACAAAGGTAGACGTCTACTGTGGTATCTGTACACTCGCACACACAGTTTAGGATGCATGTGATTAATCCCCAAAAAGTGTTTCTACCACCTTCAATAACCTTGAATTAAAATGGTGTCAGAACAAATTGAAAAACAGTCTTCAATATTGATTTCTGATTTTTTGACCTGACATTAATAAATGCCAATAGATAATTTTGGATCTCTATTCACGTGAAGTAGACGTTTGGATTTTCTATCTGACTTAATATCCCTTTAGAAACATTCATAAGAACAATGCGATGAAGATTTGAGTTCAGCAAACTTGTCCGAACTTCTTCAGGGAAATTAATCAAAATTAAAATAACAAAGGTCTATGTATAAAAGGATATATCTTGTTTTTAAAAACTTTGTCTACTCATGTGAGTCATGAATAAACATCAAAATATAACAAACAAAATTGAATGAACAGTGATCAAAATTTAACTACTGACTTACTATTATTAATGTACTTTTGTTAAACACAGTGAACAGCGTGTACAACTGAATATGAAGTATATATATGTATAGAAATCAAGTCTTAATTTAGGTATCTTGGACTATATCTTTCTTCTGATCTGTCATGGTGTTCCCATGTCTTAGCGATTTCTAAAAAAATATTTCGTCTGATATTTTACATTAAGAAGTTAGGGCACTCAGGCATAACTCAACCAACCCTCCTTTTACAGTTTGTCAATTCGTGCATCTTACTTATTCTTGTCTACTGTTCACCCTTATTCTTTCCTGGATTACTTAAAAAAGACAATGTCATACTATACTACTACTCTGAAGACTGTCAGTAGGGCGAGTGGTAACCAGTTGGGCCACATCGTTGACATTGTCATTGATAGGCATTTGATGTCATCCATCAAATTTGCTGAAGGGATTTTGCCAGACTGTGAGCATCCATTTTATTTACCCGCAGCTTCAACCTTGTGTCTCTTCATGTGAAACAAGAAGTCTAACTATAAAAATTCCACGATACCATATTTGGCACGTACTTTATGTGATGAAAATAATGTTAGGCATGAACTAACTAACTAGCTAACTAACTAATCATCTTTGCACTAGTAAAAAAAGCAGTTTTCTCCATTCTTATTCCACTAAATTTTATTCTTAATATTCTTCTTATATATATAATCCTTTCACTTTTTTGTTTATTTTCTCATAAGTGTGAACATCATTTAAGCCGTGTTGTAACTGTTATTTTTCGTCTTTCACCTCAGCATGCTATATCAAGAGAACATTAGATTCAGTGATCTATAGCATGATAAAATTTCCAAAATGTATCGACAATACTATCTGAAACAAACCCACTGTTATTATTATTATTACATTTATTATTCTTGTTTAATGTTATGCAAGAACTGGAGCGGCATTATACTCCAGTCCATCCCAAGCAAAATACTAAGCCACATCATCCTGGAGAGAATCAACCACGCCCTGGATGAAAACCTTCGACCGGAACAGGCTAGATTCAGGAGTAGCAAGTCATGCATGGATCGAATCGCAACACTACGGATCATCATTGAACAGAGCTTGGAATGGCAGTCAACTCTCTATCTTAACTTCGTCGACTTCGCTGCTACAGGGTGCCGCCAACAATTATACATCTCATCCAACAGAATTTTCAGAGGCGTTTATTGCATGATATTTTCCCTTCGTACAATATCTTCAAGTGAAGTATTAATTAATTGACAGTATATCCTTCCTGTGACACAATGGTCTCTGAGCTGAAGTGCAAACAATGCCATTACGATGATATATCTGCTTTGCCTCCTCCAAGAAATCCATGACGTCGATTTAGTTGAAAGCTAATTTAAGATATTCAGGAGTACATTTAGAGACCCAAGAACATAACTGACGAACAGTTATCTCGTGTATTGGAACACGTTGCCACATACAATCAGGCTATTTCTCAAGTTTAGTAGGAACTTGCGAATCAGAAGCCTGTAAATATTTTAAATATACAAAAGAGTAGATAATACCTCAACAGCTGTCCTGGTGGTTTTCCAGTAGTTCTCTAACCGATGTCAGCTCATGATGAAATCCTCCAACCAATCAAACAAAAGACAAAAGTACCCACAAAACCAATACTTGAAAATACTGATGAAAATGACTGTTTAGCTTTGTAAGATGATTCATCGGAAAGGATGCTCTCTTTGTCAGTATTTCAGCCTCCTTTTTTATCACTCTGTATGCGAAATTCTCATTCATGTTTGATAATCATTTGTGAATATAGATATATCAGTGCTTAGAGAAGTTGTAGAAAGCGTCTACTGTAGGGGTTAATTGGGGTGAGCGTAAGTTCAGTTAGTTTCAAGTGAGATCATACCGTTTGTCGGAATCGCTTTAAGATCTACTATGGACGAAGGATATATGGACAGCTTTTCTCCACCAAATCTTAGATTCTGCTGTAATACCTACCAACAAGCACATGAGTGCTGAAACAGCATACACATAATGTAAACTTTTTACTTTCAGAAACTATATACTACTTGCTTAAAATAAAGTAGTATGCCTTTGTAATCGAAAAAATACTGGGTCAAAATGCAGGCCAGTGAAATAAGCGTAGAAGTAGAAAGCTTGACATTTAGTAGTTACTGCATATAACCACTAAAAGAACTTATAACGATGTAGAACAGGAAACAGCTGGTGCTACTATCGGGACATTTATCATTCAGACTAAAGAAAGGCTTAAACTGACTAAAAGTTAACACAATAATTGAAAGAAACTATTTCGCTTGACTCCGCTCACTAGACAGTTCAGTCAGATTAAATATCCTTCTCATGGTTTATATTTTTGGTATTAATTTACTTCACTATGAGCCACTTTCAATGTAAGGTTGTCATATGTTTTATTATGTCATTTTCATCGGATAATTATTTATTGCTAATTATAGCTTTATATTCATTCATTCATTCGTATAGGAAGAGTTTTGAACAGAAGAACGAAGACGATTCAATCAGGTCGCCTGTAAATAATGATAAAAAAGACGATACAGGAAGCAAACAAGTCACATCTCATAAAACGGTAATTAACAGTTTATTTTTGGTGTTTTGAATAATGTCTGTGATTTTAATTGATAAACGAGTTTACTCACATGAATTTGCGGCTGATGGGAAATATCCAGTAGATGAAATGACAGAGAAATCAATCGGTGGGACTCCCTGAACAATCATTAGTGAAGTGTCTGAAACCCTAAAAATTCATGTTTTCTCTATCATTGAAACCTCTGCCATATAGTACCAAAGTTTATCATTTTAACGCAGAGGTATTCATGATCCACTGTCTAACATGGACAGATTAACTCCAGAATTGCAATATATAACTCCAGTTGAGTCTAGTGAAATCTGTCGTCCAGATCTATTATATCATCACCGAACTAAGCGACACACTGATCGTAATGAATGTTAGATATACATCGGTTAATGATGCAGGAAGAGCAGTAAACTATTTCGTTCTTCCGTAGACATGCGAATAACGTTTTTTGAGTTATTTTGTTGGCATTACATGGTTAGGGGCAGTCGACAGGAAGCCTTGCTTAACCTAGGTTTCGTGCTTGTTGGCACTCATCATGAGGGCGTATTTGCAACCTCGAAGGAACTCATATCCCTTCTGAGATTCAAACCCACGTCACCTAGTGCTGCAGTCAGAGCCGTTACCGCTGAGCTAGTGAGGCTCGCAAGTGACCTCCTGTAGGAATACCTCTGACTGCAGCACTAGGTGACACAGGTTCGAATCTTAGAAGGGACATCAGTTCCTTCAAGGTTGCAGATACACCTTGCTGATGAGTGCCAACTAGCATGAAACCTGGGTCCAAGGCTTCCTGTCGATTGCCTCCAACCATCTAACACCGACGATTCATAGTGCACCGTAATAGCGAGCCACCTAGCATGGTGGCCACATTGCAAGCTTGATTGATAGAATTCAGTCTGTACCGAAGATAGAAATAGACACATTACACTAGTTACTGACTAGTGTCCAATCAAAAAATGAGTTATTTTGTATTCCCCAATGATTGATTTTTATTGAGCCAAAATGACTGATCTCTGTTGACGCCTCAGCTCTTTCTTAGTACAGACACCATGGTAAAGTCTGAAGAATAACATGGTGATATTTAGCTCTGATTGTTGAGTATTTTGTCCGATTTGCGGCTCGTCAACTGGATAGGCTTTCATCCGCAGTGAATGGTGTTTTTTGCACTAGTTACTGATATGTAGAAATAGTTTGAACAAATAACTGCTGATAGCTATTGCATGAGAAGGGGCTCTTGTTATCCAGTAGTCTAGTTTGGGGTGCTGGGTTCGAGTCTTAGCAACAACACCGTGGTAATGCAAACACATCCGAGTGAGGAATTCTAGATACGACTGAACGACGGTAGCGTATTCCACTGCTAGCTACTGTCTTATTTTAATTATTATCATTATTTTATTTTATTACATTCCGAGTGGAAAATCGGTACCTCACACTTGAGCTGGGAAGTTTCATTCTCATTTCTGCTAATATTTTACGGGTTGGAGTTGCTGGCCTTCCCCACTTAAAACCAGGTTAATAGCCGAATAGGGGGCGTAAAAGTGTGCACCAGCCGTGATATGGAACCCCAGACCACATGAGGCGTGTTTGGTGAGCATTCTACTGCTAAATCACTGATGCTACTGCCGGTTAAACAGAATGATGCTCTCAGCTTTATTGAATTAAGTGAAGAGAAAGTTACTGATTTCACAGTCACACTGGTTACTACAACTGAGCATATTTATACACACTGGCAAACAATATGATGCATTCAGTTAAAAAAATTTATTATTCTCTAAATCAATTGTCTTTCTCAGAAATATAGACGTAACCATGATTGAAGGGTTAAATTTGCCCAAAGATTTTTGATTCTTACTATCAATACTGATGACACAGAGTCTAGGCTTTGCAGTAGTTAAAACACAATGCGATTTTAAATAAACTTTATCTGTTTCTGAAATGCAAAGGAAGTAATACTGTGGTGAGAGTTGTCTGCTAGCCAGAATTGTAGACAACAATTTACATCAATATTCACATCCCGAATCGGCGTCATGAGAAAAAAAACAGTAATAAAACTTGACCTTGAAGAACTCACCAACCAATCACAGCAGACTTAATGTGTTCAAATACGATTCGTAGACATATGGCCTGACTTTCTAAGAAACGGCCACCAAGCTATGACAGAACAACGTTGAGCAAGAAAAAACCAATCAGAAGAGGCTGTTTGTCTGCTAACAGTAATGCTAATAACAATGCATTATTGTTAGCAGAGAAGCAACGTCTTCTGATTCGTTTTTTCTTGCTCAAGGTTATTCCGTTATCGCTCTGTGGCCATATATCTCCGAACCGTATTTGCACACATTAAATCTGCTGTGATTGGTTGGTGAGTTCCTCAAGGTTAATCTTTATTACTGGGTTTTTTCTCATGATGCCGATTCTGTACGTGAACATTGACGTAAATTGTTGTCTACAATTTTTGGTTTGCAGACAGCTCTTATCACAGAACAAACATAAATTTAAGGAACGACAGTTTAATAAAGTATGATCGGCTGAAAGAGAGTATCGGACGGCTGTTTCGTCAGCCTAGTTTAGAACCCTTCAATAATACCTATCCACCCACCCACTGTCGTGGTTCGAACTCAGGACCTTTCAGTTACCAGGCGACATTCTCGTACACTATTTACCTTAGATTTACATAGTTTTGTACATTATCACCTGTCCAATAAGTCAAGAGTAACATAATAGTCAAGATTTTCATTTTATAACTTTTAAATAAAAGATTATGAAAAAGAGAAGACATTCAGCGAAGAGACTCTTTTCGGCGAATTCATTCACATAGCTGTACAATCGCATTTATATATAAAGATTGCATTGATGAAGTACTAGTTGGCCCTACAGTAGAACAAACCATTTGTGTTAATAATTAATGTCTTATCAATCTATATTGTTGTTCATTTACTGTGTATAAGGTTAAATTTGGGCCTATCGAAGAGTGTCATTATCAAGGCAATAAAAAAATAACAACAAAGATATTGACGAGTGAAAAGTGTGTAGAGACGACAACAACGTCATCGATAACTGATAATACTTCTACAAATTTAGATATCTCTGAAAATTCCAATTCTACACAGAACAGTCCAGTCAATCCAGAGGTAATAGTTAAATCAAATGAAGATCCGGAAGAGAAAAAGGAGATTCTACTGAGTAAGTCTTCAGCACGTTTAAAACCCAATATATTCAATTTTTTAAAATTATTTATTCATTTTTTGAAAATTTTAGATCAGCTGGGCAATTTTTTGAATTTAAATAGATTAGGCGGCCAAGTTAAACTGCAAGTCAAAATTGTGGACAACAATTTACGTGAATGTTCACATCCCGAATCAGGGTCATGAGAAAAAAATTAACATAGCTTAACCTTGAGAAAATCATTAACCAATCACAGCGGAGTTAAATTGTGGAAATATGATTCTCAGATACATGGCTTGATTTTCTGAGAAACGGCCACGAAGCGATAAGAGCATTAACCTTTAGCAAGAAAACAACCAATCAGGAAAGGTTGCTTCTCCGTTAACAATTACGCTAATAACAATGTACATAAAAATCTATAAAAACCTCTCCATTTTTTCAACAAACAGTCTGTCGCCTGACCCTTGTCTTCTGTCTTTACAATAGCCTCAGAGCGGATGACGATGTTGAAACCAGCTTGGATCAGGAAGGCATTTTGAAAAGGCTAGTGACGAATTTTTGTCAACAACTGACCCATTCTCTGGCTCCATACTGTAGATCAGATGACCAAACGGAAAGGATCAGCAACATGAAACTCTGGGAGTAAAGTAACTAAGGACCTGTTACCCAGCAAATATGCAGAAATGGTTGAGGACAGATTGAACATGGGCGCTGTGGAAACCGTTGGGTGACATCGGCCTGAATTTGGGCTACCGATATCCATGCTGAAAATTCCATACTTGTACTGAAAATACGGTGTGGAATCAAGCTGTAAATCAAAATAAATAAAAATAAATCACGAAAAGTTGGACATATATCGGATGGTGAGATGGATGCGATCGTTTAATGTAGAGGACATGAGGACCTATGGGCAATCTTAGGGCTAACTGATGTAGATGGCCACAGAGGACAGGAAGAAATGGTAATGCGGTGTTAAAAACCGCATGTTCCACTGAAAATCCAAGAAGATAATAATGATTACTATTAAAGGTCATTCCCCCAAGTTACAGATTCACTTTATATCTGTCTCCTAAATACCTTTATTTACCCCTCCCTTATTCCAACAAATTCAGTTCCTCGGGGACAACATCAGCCTGATACTAACACAACACCTTAGAAATGCGGTAAAAAAGCATTCCCTACTGCTGAATTACGCTGTGTCTTCAAAAACAACCACTCCTATTTTACTTTCAGGAGTAAAAGATAAACTGCTTAATTTCGCCTCTTTCATGTGTATCTACCAATTTAACTGCTCCTGTGGAGCCAGCTACATAGGTCGTACAATTAGGCGTGTTTCTTGATGGATTTCCGAATACTACCCTGCGTAGTTGATTGAACGACAAATAAAATCTTTTCGTAACGCTATTCTATTCCAACTTGTGGATACAGAACACAAGACTGATGTTAATGAGGCAGCTTTCAAAGTTATTTACCGCATACGAACAAATCTTAACTTCGCCTTAGACGTTCGTTTACTAAATATTGCTGAGGCTGTTGCGATCCATATTAAGAAGCCTAATTTATGTGTCCAAAAGAAGCTAATTGAAGCATTGTCCTTACCTTGGCCACCTAGGTTCGAATGATCCTCAAGTGGTTGTGGAAATTTCCTTAATTTTAGTTGGTATTCTATTTGCTATTATATTATTATTATTATTGAAACATCTTTAATGAACTGTAATTCCATTGTGATCTTACTTAACAAATCGATAGTATTTAAAAAACACTAATATCGTTGCTGACTACTATTCTAGAATATTCTATGTATATAAACAAATGCGTATATAATTATAGAGCCAGAAGAGGAGGAAATTATCGAAAAGGATACTCTTTGCTCAATTATTTTGTTTTCCCATAGATGTCTGAATGAACATTTTCGCTACATATATTTTTAAAAAGACAATCCAGAAAATTTTCTTTTCGACGAAGTCATCATCTAGGCTGTACATTTGTGTATTTATGATAAATGGGTGGGAAAGTTCCAGAATAATTTCTGGTTAATGGTCAAATTAATAAAAATTACAATTAGGAATTAGAATGTCATAATAAACAGGGGAGCGGATAAAACTCGAACAAGGTAGCATTATAATAACTAAGAAGATTGATATTGTGCAATTGGGGGTTAGAAATGTAGAAAAAACAAAATAGACAGGATGTTTGGATAAAAAACTAATGTGATGAATAATTGTTTATGCAATCAGGGATTAAATATGTAGAAATAGTAAAATGACAAAATAAACAGGAAGAGTGGGTATGAAAGTATGGTAGTGTAGACAGGGATTAAGAAAAACTTAAAATAACATGAATAACCAGGAAGTTTAGATAAGAAGGGCGATGAGATTGTCATTACTAAAAAAAATTTTTTACCTCTTTATGATGGCCATGGCAGGGACAAGGGTTGGACGTAATTTTTTTGGATACAAAGCGTGGGTTTGAGCTTTTGGATAGCTAACGCCTCAACTATGCCCAGATGTCTTGATTTGACTCCCTTTGTTAGGTTTGTTTGAATCTTGTATATTACTTTGAAGGATTTTTCTAAAGGCGCTGAATGTCCTGAGTTGACCAGATGCTCTGTCACTGAACTGCATACACGTTTTTGGTCTCCTTTTACTAGCCAGGCTTGGTAGTGCTGCAATTGTCTTTTTAATAACTCCTATGACCCAATGTGTATATATATATATATTTAATTGTATTCACACTTTTTTATTTGTCTATTTATATTTTAGCCAAGTCAACCTCATTTCCTAATCAACTGGTTCAGCATACATTCACGGATCAAAATAGATCATCGTCATCGTCAGCATTAAGCGATCAATGTTCAGACGATCAATATTGTTGTCATTATTATTATTACTGCAATGATCATCATCAAAATTATGACCAATTTCCTCCATTATCAGCTACTGTTCTATTGGCCATTCCTGAAATTGGTGAAAATGACTATTATGCCGATTCACCACAATGTCTGACTGTAAAAGAATTGAAAGAATTAGGTGTGTACACTAGTGAAGAAGACGATGATGATGATGGTGATGAAGGAGATGAAGACGGTGTCGATGGTGTCGACGGCGACAACAACAACAATGATGATGATGAAGATGTTGGCGGTAAAAGTAAGGAAGTGTTACAAAGTATTAGAGAACAAAGAGAATATAGATTAGACAGCGATGAAAGAATAAGAAGTTCTAGTCCCACGTATATTCATGGAACAGATATCGTTGTTGTTTCGCATACACCATCAACGACATCAGAATTCAATGAAATTCATGCCTCACATCATCATCATCATGAAGAAGTTATGATTTAGCAGTCAACTCCATCATTGGATGTTTTCCTTTTTTTTAGAAATCTTCCGAGCACATCACATATTCTAGATTGAATGTAATATATACATATTTTGAAGCATTATATTCTTTCTTACTACTTTGCAGCAGCAAATTAAGTAGTTTGGTATTGTATTCAGTAAAAAAAATAATAAATCACTCATTATTTCTTTCTTTTGTATAGTAAAGATGATTTATAAATAAATTCGTTTTCGAAAGTTTTTTTTCGTAGCGATTTGATTTTTATCAAGTCTGGTCAGTGGGATTGATATCAGTTATAGAATCATTGGGAAACTACCAGGGAGTGGGTATTGGACAGCTAGCTGTTTCATCACCCCAGTTTGACACCCTTCATCAGTACGTACCTACCACTGGGGGTTTGAACCCAAGACCTTCCAGTTACAAGGTGGCGAACTGGTAAACGAATAAGCAACCACTGGGATAAGATCCAGTAGCCAGGCCAAGGGTCCCAACGTCTACTAATTCACGACATAGCGCGACCGGCACTAGCTAATGTCGTCGGAGAGTAAATCTCCTCACATCTTACCAGCTGTACTGCATTCCAGTCACTATGGAGCATCAGACTGATATTCAAGTGTTCGGTTGTAGGGATTTTATTGGTTAGAGGATTTCGGTATGAGTTGACATCGCTTAGAGAAGCACTGGAAAACCACCAGGAAGTCAGCACTGGATAACTGGGTGTTTCATCACCCTAGCTTGAGTTCGCTGTTTACTAGTAAACATCCACAGGAGTTCGAGTCAGTGACATTGTCTAGTTGTCACGCTATACCTCATTGTTATTTCATTATGGTTCTTGGAAAATTCGGATTGGGACATATAGAAAATCAAAACAAGTGTTGATTCTGCAAGGAGATTCTTTTTCCAACGAATTTATTATTAAACTGCACAATCGTACGTATATATGTATCTACTGCACACAGACGAGGCGATAGGCATTTATACTATTAAACCTCAACTATGCATTCAAAAGAAGTTCGTACAGCCATTATTCCTCCGTTATTTACCTACTAAAACCTAACCAACTTATGACTTCATCACCACCCCTTACTTATATTTTCAATCCCTCTCTTATCATCCCTTAATCTTATCACATCTTCATTATAGAGGAGTTTCATTTACTTCCCTTACAATCAATCTAACATTACTTAATCGGTTCCATTGTTTTCCTTAGTCTTTATCGACTACTATATCTACCTGAACATTTGTTCGTTTAATCATGCAGTATATCGTTATTCGTGTTATCACAGATTGCCTCACTTTTTCATTCTTATTACTGGTAGAACCGTTATTATTGTTATTATTATTATTACTATAGGTTTCCAGGTCGTAGGTGTTACGAACTTCCTGGAATAATTTGAGCTTTTGATAGCATTATTAGAAGACGGAGATTATCTGAAAAATGTGATGTATTAGCGCTATACATTTCGAACAATCTGATCACACATTTACTTGTCAAGTCAAGTCCCAAAGTGGTTAGGAAAACAGATGAATTGTGACAAGCCCATAGATGCAGGTGCTAGACTACCAACTTCGTCTATAGCCAAACATTTAATCGAGATGAACCATAAGGTTGATGTTAACTCAGCCTTTAAGGTCATCTATAAAAGCGGTCAAGGACGTTTACTGAAATACGCTGAGGCTATAGCCATTCATAAACTTAAGCCCCCCTTGTGTATTCAAAAACAGTTTGTTATTACTTTTAACCTACCTTGGTAATCCTTATTTGATTGGATTACCAAACGTTTGTGTTAATTATTCTTAATTCTTTTTTTGTCACCTTGTTTAATTTAACTTTTCCATATATATTGACTTGACAAGTAAATGTGTGATCAGATTGTTCGAAATGTATAGCGCTAATACATCACATTTTTCAGATAATCTCCGTCTTCTAATAATGCTATCAAAATAATTTGAGCGCCGATTCAGATTGATTCATTATAAATTATTTTAATTAATCCCAGTGTGTTAAGAAAATCAAAACAAGATTTTTCTGAACGTTCCGCTGTGTAAGCCACAGCTTCTTCAGCAGATTTATTCCGATTTTTATTAATCATCAAAATATATAGTCAGAAATTTTACATAAATTGAAGTCATTTTATTTGAAGGTCATTTGTCCATGGACATTTTTACCAATAGAAAATATGTAAGCAGTCATCACATATATTAGTAATGACTAATGTCAAGTTGTTGTTGGGTTCACTCTTCAGTAGTTAATTTGTACAGATTAGTTACAGGATTTCATCATGAGCTGACATTGGTTAGAGAACTGTTGGAAAACCTGAGAGTACTGGACAGCTGTTTCGTCCTAGTCTGGGGCTCTTCATCAATGCGCACCCACTGGTGACAAGGCGAGCTCGTATACCATTAAGCCACTGGGACCCGATCCAATGGCCCATGAATTCTAACTTCTGCCAGTTCACGATATAGCGCAACCGCTAGCCAATGTCTTCGGCGAGTATTTGTCTTCACACCCGACCTGCTGCACCCTACTGGTCACGACTTCCCACTGGAACCCCAGGTAACTACCTACCTGAATAGGGCCAGTCGCCAGTGAGCATTTCATTGTTATTCAAGTATTGGTTTGTAGGGGTTTGGCTGATTGGTTTTAAAGAAATTATATCCAGTGAGAGAATCGAATCAGAGGTGTGAATACGTAAAACACTTGAGGTATGAAATGCAATTCAAATCTTTGTGATTGTAATCATAGTTAATTGTGAAGTTGCAAAACAATTAATGTCATGTACAGAACAATTCATAAGATATATAGTACTTAGAAGGAGTGTGCAATTATAGCACTAGTAGGCGAATACAATAAAAACGTTACGCAACACTGTGTGAAATTTGATAACATAGAATTGAAAGTTGCAAAAAAATAATAAATTGATTTATAATGGTAAGTGGGAAGAGTGAAATAATTCAGAGTGAGAATAATAATAATAATAATAAGGGAACAGTATGCAAACTGAATAAACAAAACATTTAGTATTCCCATAGGAAAATTTAGAACAACACATTTAGTCGAACAGTGTGTGTGACTTATCAAAATAAAATCTTATCCATAATGAACAGTAATATTGTGCTTTCAATTACATCTCACCAGACCTAACTCTAATATATATATTTACATAACTTTACGAATAAAAATTCAAAATGAACCAATCACGGTGTTTTGTCTATAGGATAATAAGATGGTGAATATAAATTGTGTAATTAGTTATAATAATAATAATAATAATGGTTCTACCAGTAATAAGAATGAAAAAGTGAGGCAATCTGTGATAACACGAATAACGATAAACTGCATGATTAAGCAAACAAGTGTTCTGGTTGACGTGGTAGTCGATAAAGGGTAAGCTAAACAAATGGGACCGATTAAGTAATGCTGGATTGTAAGGGGAGTAAATGAAACACGTTTATAATGAAGATAAGATAAAGGGATGATTAGAGAGCGATTAAAAATATAAACAAAGGGTGGTGTAGAAGTCATTAGTTGGTTATGCCTTAATAGGCCAATAAGGGAGGGATAATGGCTGTACGAACTTCTTTTGAATGCATAGTTTCGGTTTAATAGTTGTTCGAATGCCTATCGCCTCAGCTGTGTGCAGTAGACGAATACGAAGTCTGTTGGAAAGATTCAATAGGATACGATGAATTACTTTGAAAGCTCTCGTTTTCTCCACTACATGACCACTATCAACTAAATGTGACAAATTGAGCTACGGATTATTATTATTGATGGAAACATTATTATTATCATTACTGCTACTAGGACTAATTGCACAATTTATATTCACCATTCTTATTATCCTATTGACAAAACACCATGATTGGTTTGTATTTGAATTTTCATTTGTAAAGTTATGTAAGTATATTAGGGTTAAGCCTGATGAAATCCAATTGAAACCACAATATTGTACGCTTAAATGTGTCGTTCTGATTAAACAAAACGAAAAAAATTGCTAGAGCCAAAATATGAATAGGGATTATCATACTTTATTGGCACAGACATTATCGACAACACAATAAGAAGACGTAGTTTATCTGAAACGTGTAATGTATTGGTGCAACACATTTCGGACATTCTGATGACACACGTACTTGTCATACACAGTTTGCTTGCTTTAAATTGCTTTAAATAGACAGATTAAGGCCAAGAAAGTTAGAGGAGTTGAACAAAGTTTCCCTGTATACAGAGATTTCGCCTTTATATTTCGATAGTCAAAGCTGTTTAAGCAATACAGATCAGGTGGATGGATATGTAATGATTTGGGAAAATTATTTTTCGTCCTGTAAATGACTTTAAACACTGAGACTGTAGAGAGATAGGGTGATCAGTACCGACAAGATGTTCATTGGTCGCGCTTCTTATTGCTCCACTTCTACCTTTTCGTAACTGTCATGTAGGAGAGTGTTCTTGCACCCTCTTGAACAAAAATCAAGTCGAACGACCCATATAGCTAGCTCCACACGAGTAGGTGAATTGATAAATGCACACAGAGTTAGTCAAGTGAAGGGTCTTGTCCTTCAGGAGGTTATTGAACAGTAATGGTCGACTGGAAAAGCAGGGAATGTCCTTTCCAGGGACTATGAGATCCTTCTTGTCATAATATCGGAAGCTATCACTTTGGAATTCCAAACTCATGTACAGTAAGTTTTTTCTTGTGTACGGATGGTAGGTTACATTTCGTAGGATTTGACTTTATGTTCTAGTCTACAAAACGTGGTAGAAATCCATTGTCTGTTAGGATTTTTCTCAAAATATTTAACTCTTCCTCCATAGTATCATGACTACATATGCGCCGAATGTGATTGGCAAGCGACTGGATCAGGTTTCGTTTTTTGACCAATAGGTAACTGACTGTAGAAATTTGTCATTTGACCATTTCATGACAACTTTCTATAAATCGATCTACTCAGAGTTCCATCTGTCCTCCTTGATAAGTTCACATCGAGGAAATGAATGCCACACTCGTTCTCCATTTTACCACCTAATTTGAAGTAAAATTAATTAACCAAAGTCCAACTATATGTTATCTTAGAATCAAGGAGAATATTTCCATCAAGTTGGGATCAATAATTCCGTGTCCACCACAAGAATGACTTACCAGCACCTCCGAAAGGCAATTTGTACACACTTGATATGATTATGAGCGGGAATAAATTGTGCTCGAAATGTGGTCATCAACCATTATTACTG